GCTCACCGTCAGACGGCAGGAAAACGTCTCTGCTTCTGCTCTCGGCCTCCTGAGTGTCAGCAGAAGGTTTGAAGTTTGTGTTTGAAGTTGCAGGTTCAGGTGGAGCTGAGACACGTGGATGTGATTCAGCTGCTGGTCCTGCAGCATCCGTTCACGTCCTCTGACCAGGTGGACGACGAGCTCCGTAGACGTCCAATCAGATTAGTTCTACAGACCTCCAACCTGCAGCATTTATATACGAATACACAACATACATGTGGCTCGTCCATCTCAGACCATCAGAGTCAAATTTTATTTAAGTTACCTGTTGACTGACATTTCAGGCTGTTTGAAGGACGATATCATGTTTTTGTGTTTTTCAAAAGTACTGAAAAATGTGTAAATTAATATTCTATGATTTTTTTTGTCATTTGCAGACAATAAATAAAAAATAAACATGTTTGTAAAATTAAATGAAATTGTGAAAGTACATTAATCACCTTTTTATGCCAAAATGCCCCCAAAAGGTTCGTTTTCTTCAAATAAATAATAAAAAAATAAAGTCACAGGTTTTTCTATTTGTTTTACATTTGTCATGTAAATTCATAGAAACACTTAATTTTATTTTTATGGTTTTGTATTTAAAATATAAAAAGAAATGTGCAACACAAAAAGTAAAAATCCCCCCTTTTTCTATTTTATTTAAGTATTTTATCTATTAAATAATAATAAAGACATATTTTGAAAATAAATCTGTGAATGTAAATCTTTTATTTTCACTGTTATAGATTTTTAATGTTATTCTACAGTTGACTTGTAAATTCCTTATATTCTATTTGTTCATCTATTTTTATTTATTAATTTTATTCTATTTATTTTTTTAATATTTAAAAAATCTCTTTTTTTTACATGGCATTTTTAGTAAAAATGTAAAAAACTAACATAAAATAAAAAATAAAATTCATGACCAACATCTCTGACACGATGTCTCGCTGTGTTTTGTCTCCTGTTGATGTTAAACAACCTGCTGGTGAACATTTACTGTGTGTGTGTATATATATATAAACTGTGTCATTAGTGGAGCTCTGCAGCACAAACACAAACCCAGCGTGCAGCTTCGTGAAATGAGCAGACGGATATCTGGTTCTGAATCTCATATCCTGTTTTATTGTTCAAATATGGCAGAACGAGACACACGACACGGTACAAACGAGGCGCCCGCAGTCGGACGCACACACCTGGACGAAGACCAACACAAAGGAGCCTCGGGGGGAAACCAGACGCACAAACGCACACGTTCAGACGCACGACGGGCCGCCTGGCGTATTAAAGGGGCTTCGAGGAGATTAAGGATCCGGTGACGATAAGAGAGCGAAACGGACACGTTCAGAGTCCGCCTTGAGACAGAACCCACCCGGCGCTGGAGGTGGACTTCACAGGAACCACACCGACCAGGTGGGTTCTGCGTCGCGGCGGGCGGCGTTAGCCTTTAGCCACACGATGACATTTAACAGACTTTGGCAAAATCTCACAGCGAAGAAAAGAAGAAACGACCCCGAAGCGCTGACGGAGGAACACGAGTGACTGAAGGCCACTTTGAACGGAGGTGATTGGATTCCACAGCATGTGTTCTACAGCGTTCACCTGCTCGACCAGGACAAACAGGAACAAGTTAAAGTTTTGTGCTTTTTCAGACCTTCAAGATGCAAACTTTGACTCTCGCTTTTTAAATCAAACAGGGAATCTAATCTGCCGGAGCAGCGAGTAAAGCAAATAAATAGGAACAGATCACCTTCATCATCACCTTCACTTCACATCCAGAGCTTCTCTGATGGGCTGCAGCTGATTTCAAAACCAAAAGAACAAAAGAACGGATGGAAGACGCTCAAGTTGGGAGTCGGAGGGTTTCCAGCAGACGGCAGCGAAGCTCGAACCGCCGCCGCACAAAATAACAAACACATAAATAATAAATTCATACAAATCAGCAGAACCTTCAGAAACATTAAGATCAAACTCACATGAATTAAATGCTCGTGTAAAGTCAGGATAAAAAAAAAAAACAAAACAGCTTGTCGCTTAAAAAGCAGCCGGTTTTCAGGAGACAAGCCGACGGTTTCTTAGCTAACTCGTAGTGTGCTGAAGCCAAATATCAGATGTTTTGTGGCGTGGAAGCCGCCGGACAGCTCGTTAGTGTCGCTAGTGGAGATCATTAATCAGTGCTGATTGTCTCGGTGCTGCTCCTGCAGGACGAACTCGCTTCTCAGCTTTAATGCGACTTTATTATCATTATTTCAACCTGCTGGATTTTAAGGAGTCAGTGGTTTAATTATAACGAGCTTCCTGCAGCTCTTTTACGTGAATTATATAAATTTTCAGTCTGACGGAAGTTAGAAACAGAAATTAGCCAAATGGAACGACGTGTTTTAATCCAAGCACGCCGCTTTGTTTCCACGTGAAAGCAGAAAAATATCGTTTCTATAAAACTGTCAAGTGAGTTTAAAGCAATTTAAAGGAATAAAGAAAATGCAAATGTGTTTTTCCTGCTAATGGAATAAACTGTCGCCACCAGGAGGCGACATGGATGTAATAGACAGAGCAGAAGAAAATGAAAACGCTAAAACAAAACCTTAACGATGAAAAAACAAACTAAATTTTGCTCATCGATGAGAAAAAATATTTAAAAAAAAAGTCTTCAGGAATCATTTTAATCCAGAAAGTTGTAAATATATTAATATTATTATAATTAGTCATATGAGTTAAACGTTTGTTTTAGTTTCCTTGAAGCTCGTTAATTATTTAGGGAAACTCAAAAACAACCGTCAGAAAATTAGAAATTTCTACAGTTTTCTGCGTTTTCTAATCCGATGCTTCAAAACGCACATTTAAACTATTTTAAAGTTAAAAATAAACTTTTGTTTGTTTGGATCTGAACCGTTAATCTGCTTCCATCGGTGGCGGCAGAAACACGGCAGTAATTTTGCCGTAACGACTTCAAATTGATCCAAAATGACAAAAAAATTTCATAAACTGTTGCTGCAAAGAGAAACGTGGTGATGGAGACCGAGAAGTTCTCCCAGAGTTTCCAAAGGACTCAAAATGTTTCTAAACTAAACTCAAATCTTCCCAGAATGACTCGAAATGCAACAAAAATGACTTGAAACTTGTGGAACCTGCTGACTGGACAAACCTCCACATGAGAGGAATCCAGCCGTAAACTAGAACTACTGACGCTCTGATAGACGTTCTGGAGAAGATGATTCACCTCCAACATCAGCTCCAACGTTCAGCTCAATAAAAGAGAGAACCGTGCCCGTCACAGGCGGCTAATTTCTGTTTCCTTGAAGTCAGACTGAACATTTTAAAGAATTAATTGCAAAAGGAGTGAATCGTCTGTGAGTTTGACCAACTGAGCGAATCGGCGTCGACGCAGCAGGTTGAAATAAACCAGAACTTTCCTTTAAAGCGCATCAGAGGAGCAGATCGGCGAAACCTTAAACAACAGAAAATAAAACGCTGGAAGTTTAACCCTCTGAACCGCACACTTCATTCATTAACTAGAAAAAAAGATTAATCGGAGGTTCAACTCTCAGGCTTTGAACTCATCCTGTTTATCGCGGCGTCCAAAAATTCGCCAAAAATAAAACCTTCGCTCTGAGTAGATTCTGTAAAAAATGAAAAATTCTGAACTCTGTGGCACAACCGGCCAATCAGGAATCACTCAGCTCTGACCACCAGTCATGTGACAAATATTCAGACAGTTTAAATGTGAAAACAAAGTTAAACATCTACAGTCTGTGGAGGCTCCACGTCGTCCTTCTAAAAACCCCAGAGACACTTTATTCTCAGGTTTTGTAAACTACATAACTGAAAAACCTTCCTTTTTCTCTACTTTCTGTTAAACAGCGTCATGGCGTTTCTCTTCTTCTTCGTGGTTCCATAAAGGTGCAGGACTTTAGATTAGAGCAAAAAATGAAAATAAAGAACCTGCTGCTTGGCGTTCAGAGGGTTAAAGAAGCAGATCAACAGAACCACCATCAGACCATCAGAACGTTCATCCTCCACAAAGCACTGAAAAACAAAAAAAAAGTCAAATGTTTTCATCACCTGAAGCAGTTTTTAGGGTAAATTAAGGAGAACGTGAGTCCACCTCGACAGCAGGTGGCGGTAAACAAACAGAGGAGATCTGAGTTTCAGGTCACAGTGAAGCCGACACGAGTGTCTCTGGACCGGAGGTGTTTTCAGACGACAGCAGAGTCAGTGGCCCGGCGTCGCCCAGCGCCGATCTCCAGCTACATTTACTATTCAGCTAGCGCTGTGACAGGCTAGCTCAGGTGGGCAGGTGGCTAGCATGGCCGGCTAGCTGTTGTGGTTGTCGGGTCAGCGCCGGGAGCTGACGGTGTTGGCTGGTTTTAGTGCCCAGGTTCTACGGACTCGTCTCCCGGTCCTCCAGGAGAGCGCTTTCTGGGCTGCTGGTTTCTCAGTCTCTGCGCCGCAATCCGCTGATGTCACTTCCTGTTGTCGGCGGTGGAGTTAGCTGTAGTGTCCGTCTTGGCGGCGGCGGCGGCGTCCTCGGTGTTTCCGGGCGCCGCCGCGTTAGGACCGCCCCCATTTTGAAGTGTTTCCTGTTTGTACTGTTGCAAGGCGCGGTTGACGGCGTCCTCGACCAATCGCCTGCTGACCCTCAGGAGCTCCGCCTCATCGGGCTCAGACCGGCGACGCCCACCTGGACGAACAAGCACAACAAAAACAAACATCAACAACGTTTCAGGTCGGTGAGAACTTGGAGGCTGATAGAAACAATTCTTTACTTATTGGTCTCAGCAGGATCCTACGACTGATCCTCTGTTGACACCCACGATCACGACATAAAATATTACTTCACTATATGCTAGAAAATCAATCGATAATTGATTAATTTATAACACAAATCAAGCACACTTTTTCTAGCATGTCATGCGGTAGCTGGTTGTCATTAAGCCTCACAGAAGTCTTTGTGATTTCGTCGCTTTACAAACTCCTGAAACACTCTCCGGTAGCCAACACGGACCTTCCTGCCTCGTCTGGTCGCTACAGTATTAAACAGTACAGACTCCACCTGGTGGCACAACCAGGTACTACAACAAATCTATTATATCGAATATCTCAGAAAACCAGGTATCAGCACATACTGAATATTCGATGTCTTAGATCGTATCGGGGCAGAAGAAAACTTGATTGCAACAATATTATATTCAATCAGAAGAACATCTCATATCCATTATGAGCAGGGGGATGATACATTTTAAATTTTTAACGATCAGTATCGACAACAACTTGAGAATATCAATCAATAACATATCTATTTGTAACACAAATCCAGCACAATAAGCTGGATGTCATTAGGCCTCATATACACGGTTGTCATGGTGCCCCTTCACTGCAATATGAAACAGCAAAGACTCCACCTGGTGGCGCAACCAGGTACTGCAGCTGATATATTATACAGTTTTCTTTTTTTTTTAATTCTTGGAAAACAGCATCGGTATTGGCAGATCCTAAATATTAAATGCCTGAACAACTAATTCTATTGAATGTAATTCTGCTACTAAAATCATTACCAACAAGTACGCGACTCTTTATTAATACGACGCAGCAAAGGGTTTCCATATATCATGTGGGAGTCCAGTTCTGGGCCAATTCAGAACCAAAACACAGAAAAGCAGCGCCTCTCCTTCACTGTCCAGCTGTTTATCCTGATGAAGACTTTGCTGGCTGTCGAAGGGGAAACTCTGGGTCAGTTTAAGAAGCCGTAAACAGAACATTGATCATTTAGAACCATTAACGTGGAAAAAAAATGTAAGCAAACAGCCGCCTGTTTACAAATCCAGCAAACATGGAAAAATAATGTTTTTGGTCTTTACCAAGTCCTAAGAGGGAAAAATATCTAAGTGTTTAGCAGCGAAATGCTCCAGAGGGTCACTGCTCGGAAAATAAAAGTGACCTCCTCAGAATCAGCACATTTGAACTTTAGTTTATTTACTGACGCCGTGCAAAGTTTTACCTTCATACTGTGAATATTTCCAGTTACAGGCCCCATAAGGTACATTTCTATGCTTCTTAATGGACTTTTTCCATCATTTCTGAGCCTCAGAACTTCACCAGAACAGCAGACAGACATTTTCAGGGTTTTGAGTTCTGTAAGCAGATCAGTTTTACTTCCACTAAATCTGGTTTTCATTCACCACAACCAGCTCTGAGCATCAATGAACAGGTTCAACAGCAGAACTGCAGCAGGTTATCGTCTGTAACGTGGAGTCATGGAAACAACCACTGGTTCCTTGGATTTATTCTAATACACGAATATTTTAATATGTCTTATAGATGTGAAATGTAAACACAACGCTGGTGTTTTTATAGAATAGTTTGGATAAATTAATTGTCTGAGAGCTTCGATCTCAAATTCGACACATTAGAAGATAGTTTTGGAATCACGGCTGGAACCAACCGACCATCCATCCTACATGCTGATACGAGCCTTGAAGGTTTACCCAGAATGCACTTGTTCTCAGAAATGATGGAAACAGTCCATTAAGAAGTGCTAAATCTGGACCCTCCTCTACGGACTTCAGGGGAACTCTGGACACATCCACAGTCTGAAGGTGGAGCTCTGCATGGCTTCATTAAATACACCTGGACTAAAATTCGACTTTTCAGCTTCGGGACCAAATGATCTGTTTACACAGCGTTCTAGAACAAACGAGCATCTTGTTATTGAGATTAAATGATGATATAGAACACGTACTGCACGGCGTCGGCCTCTTTCAAATGCCAATTTAGCGAGACGTGCAATCAAACGGCAACAACGCCCCGAGACCACAGACGGCAATTTTCCAAGAACGGCAATATAAATGTAAAAAATGAAACCCATCATTAAACTGCAGATTGCTCGCTGTGCTTTTGCCTCCAGCTGCTGTTGGACTCCGCCGCACGAGGCGCGAATGACAGATTCCAGCTCGTAGCTTCGGCGACTTCTAACTCGGCGCTAGATTTGATTGTCGCTTCCCGTCGCTTTCGGGTGTCTGTTTAGACGCCACCGGGGCAGATTTCATTCCTATTTCTTTTACAAATACGTTTGAAAATGAAAACAGTAAATAACTATCAGTGTGACGATGATAAATCACCACAGAGGGAATCCAGCAGCAGCCTGGATGTGACTGAGATGATAAACAGGAACATCTGAGCTCCTCTGTGAAACAAAACCAACAAAAGACGGACGTGGCCACGCTGACAGCGATCCTCAGTTAACGGATTAACGTTTAGAAACCAAACTGGCAGCCGTGATAGCCTTTAAAACCTCTATTAGCATAATTGCACCGGTCAGAGAAAGGAAACGAGATACTGCCGTCCTACAATTACATTTAAAAGCTCCACTATTAGTACGTCTCTATCAGCACTTCTACTCATAAACGAATCTGTGCACCACCATTGATCTATATTTTATTTAAGTTTGCGTTTTTGCTGAGCTTTAATTTATTTTGTTTCATCTAATGTTTTGTGTATTTTATTGCTTTGTGAAGCACTTTGAAAGCCCAGTTTGAAAGGTGCTATATGTGCAATATCATTTTTTTCTCTCATCCAGAGGAATTTGGACAATCTGAACTTATGTCTATTCTTGGTTTATTTGTTATTTTTCTGCTGATATTTCTCAGATGTTTACGCTGTCCCCTTTGCTGCTGTAGCAATGCAAACTTCTGCTCTGTGGTTTTAATAGAGTTTTATCGTTTAATATCGTATCAATCAGCTGTTTTCTAGCACTACAACTTCAGTAAATTAAACAGTAGCAACAAAACACAGCACTGCGCTAAAACATGCTCTACTTTACCATCTATTTTTCTCTAAATGGGACCAAAATTTATAAAATAAACAACTTTCTGTATTGAAGGAGACTTAAAACTAGTAATTGAGACTGAAAACTCCTTTGGAAAATGTTCACTGACTTTATAAATCAGGTAAGAAATAGCTCATTCTCTCATAGACTCCTGTACAATTTTTTTTTTTACAACTAGAGGAGTCGCCCCCTGCTGGCTGCTAGAAAAAAATGCAGGTCTACATCCATGTGGTGTTTTTTTAGGGCAGCTCGAAGCTAGTTTTAAATATTCAACCGCTAACCTTGAGTTTCACAGCGACAATAGCTGATTGTCAACAACAAGGTAGTGACATTTCATCGTCCATTTTTCTCTAAATTGGACCATAATTTAGAAAATAAACAACTTTCTGCATTGAAAGAGACTCGAAACTAGCAATCGAGACTGAAACCTTGTTAGGAAAATGTTGACTGACTTAATACATCAAGTGAGAAGTAGCTCATTTTCTCATAGACTGCTATGCAATTTTGTGCAACGAGAGGAGTCGCCCCCTGCTGGCGGTTAGAGAGAATGCTGGTTTACGTAGCTTCATTCTCCAGACATGGAGTCTACGTCCATGTTTTTGCTCCACTGCTCGTTCTGCTCGAGTTGCAGACAAAATGGCAGACATACAGACAGTGAAGTAGAAAGAGACTCAGACGGACATAATGGCATTTAGAAAAAAAAAAAAAAAAAAACATACAGACAGTGAAGTAGAAAGAGACTCAGACGGACATAATGGCATTTAGAAAAAAATAAAAAAAAGGAGAGCCGGGCAGAAAGTCAATAATTCATGTGGACAGACAGTTGAGCAGGCAGTCAGCAAGAAGGACAGCCATCAGCGAGGCATCCAGAAAGACAGTAATAAAGAATCACTCAACCGTCCAGAGATGAACCATAACCACTCCGACCGTCCACTCCCAAGGTCGGCCTCATCTACTGGACCACAGACTCCCACTGGGCCCATAGGTTTGTTTATCTGGGAGCAGCGTGGCCTTCTATTATTCATTATAGAAACAGACTGTAGGTACAGGAGGGGGTCTGTCCGGGTCAGAACCGATCCCTCAGCAGAAAACACTGCAGGTGATTTATTCCTACGCTGATGATTTTTACCGTACCAGCCCGGTGTCATTTCATGTTTGTATACATTAATATTCCTGTTTATAGATAAAAAAAACATCTAATCCTGATTTCTTGAGGTAATTCTTCAGTTATCTGTCCTTATAGATGAAATATAGCAGAAAAAAACCCCACAAAACAGATATTTACAGGGTTATACTTGTATTTCAGAGACACATTTACATGCTTTAATGCTCAAAAACACCTAATTTTCCCGTAGCAGCACTGCGTCGCTTCGTGTTTTAATGTTGTTTTGTTTTTACAGGTTAACCTTCGATTTTCAAAAGACGCCGTGACATAAAAAGACATATTTTCCAGCCTCTAATCCTGCGTCCCTGAGTCCCTCGCTCACATATCTGCTGTTCCACGTCAAAGAGCCCATAATGTGCACGTTTACAGGTTTATTCTGGGTTCTACTAAAACACATCGGCACGTTTTAATGTGATAATAAAGCTTCTCAGATTTGAGTTCCGCTGCTCAGAATGATGCTAAAATACACATAAAGATTCTTGATGCCATTTTCAATGTCATCTCTTTTTTTAAAGCTTTATTTCTATATCTAAAAATAAATCAACATTGTGAGTTTATTACTGAGCGTTGTTTTGGATTAAACCTTTGCTACCATTGGTTGTTCACATATACATGAATCGAACATTTACAGTTTTTTTAATCTCATTTTTGGCGTCTACTAGAATATGTTTTCATATTTTAATGTTAATAAACTCTTACTGAACATCACCAAGAAAGAATAACAACAACTGTCCTGATCTGAAACACTTCCTAAAGACTTTTTCGTTGCAGATGGACAGAGTTTTTAGGTTTCTTCTTCTTCTTTGTTGACATGTTTTTTTTTTTAGTAGCTATCAAACAACTGGTTTTGTTTCTGGCTTCTCTACAGCCACGTAGCCTCTAGCGCCACCTTCTGACGACGCTGCACAGCTGAGTTTATTCACTGTGAAGCAGTTAATGGCAAACGGATTCATTTACTTATTTTTTTTTTTTGTAAAATCTTTTTGTGCACTCTTTATATGAGGGCTGCTATTCAGGCGTTCTGCAAATACGTTACCTCATGATGTTGGAAGAAAAGCCTGGACTGAAAATTTGGTGCTTTCTGTCGACTTTGAGCTTTCGTCGGCACAAAAAAGCAGCTTTATGACACACTAAAGAAAAGGAGGGACCTAAAACAAAGAACTCTTTAAATCAGAATATCCTCAAATAATCAACACATAAAGGTGCGTTTAACCTGCTGCTTCCACCGTTAACAGGTTAAAACTGGTGAAATGTGTCTTAACAGCAAACACTGGAGTCACTAAGCTGACGGCTGGCGTATCTATCAGAAGCCCACCGGTGTAACTTCCACTCCATTTTAACCACAACCTCCAGTGAGTTCTGTCGACACCAGCACCGTGAGGACTGGTTTGTTTGTGCCAAGCAGAAGCTGGACCCGTCAGAGCTGCTGCCGTGTGTCCTCGTTCATTTATCTCCAGCGTGCTCACATCAGCTCACTTTTCATTGTTTTGTTTTTGGCTAAACTGCTCTGAGCGTCGCACGGCGCTTTTGTCGCTGTGAGTCTTGGTTTATCGAGTTTTCTCAGGAGCCGTACGGAGACACGATTTGATCGTCGTCGTCGTGCCTTTCTGGGTAAACTGTGTGAACTCATGAGTAAGGGAAGCCGGCGCTGCTGCTGGCACTAATGATCACAGTCATGTTCCAATCATGTGACTTTTCACAGCAACAACTCCTGGTTTACGTGTCCGGCAGCAATCAGCCCATCATCACATGGACTAATATAGTTTTTTTTTTTTATTGCTCTGGAAACAGATTCCTCACTTTGCTTTATTTGCTTTCTAGTGGAAGACAGTTTGAAGGTCAGCGATAAATAGCACATCTATAAAACTAACTTGAGGATTCTTTGTGAATGTCGCTGTTTGAAACGAGTAACCGAGTTTGTTTTGAATAAACTGCAGTGTTGAGGCGGACTGGTGGAGAAAAGCTCTACACGACCGGCCTTCCAGGATCAATCTATCACCTTTGGTGGCAGCAGAAACAGACTACTCTTGAACACCCCCTGGTCTTCACAACTTGGAGCTCATCGAACTCATTTAACGTTTACTGAACGTTGACTTGGAGTCGGCTTCAGACTAACCGGCGCAGCGTCTAAGAAATCGTTGGTTTGGTTCCATTTTGTTGGCTTTACGAGGTAAAATATTGGGTTAAGACTAGCAACATAATTAGCATATTTGGGATTACAAAAGCTTAAAAATTAAAAATAATGTAAATTACTACTTCCCCTGACTCCAATTTATATTAAGGCCGAGACCCTACAGTGTTATTAATTATGGAGAATAATCCAGCTAATATAATTGAAGCTACACCCAAGTATCCTGGACTTTTTTGTTATTTTGGCTGTAAAAGAGTCAGAGATCATGCTATGAATGACTGCTTTTACCCTTTTTTATCTCTAGCCTAAATGGTTGAGGAGTTACGGTGACGTGAAGCCCACATGCGTTCAGACAGCAGTAACTTGTGAGTGCGTTGCTGTACCGTAATCCATCGACTTTTCCCGTATAGCTCATCTTCTTGTCTTTCAGAAACCGTTTGAATTTTCTCTCGAGCACAAACGGTAACGGAGCTACGGTAATTTAAAGAGCACTTGTAAATTGGAAGCAACAGTGCTCTGATGCAAAACCTGCGTTATCGTCTATTTAACTCGACACTGGATCACATTTCACTAAATTAACACCTTACTGTGATGAAGGAGATGTGAAACTAGCGATTGAGACCATAATGCCATTGGGAAAATGTTTATAAAGGTAATAAATCAAGTGAAAAGAAGCTCATTTTCTTGTCCACACGCTGACTTATTTTTGCTGCCAGAGGAGTCGCCCCCTGCTGGCTGTCAGACGGAATGCAGGTCTTAGGCTTCACTCATTCGAGTTGTAGACTACATTCATCGTTTATAGACAGTCTATAGATCGAACGTATTTACAGAAAACGTCCTCGGAGTCGACTCCAAACTAACAGAGTCCATGTCAAAGTTGGCGTTTCTGCATTTCGTTCAAATAAACGGACAAAAATTTGAGTGTAAACTTCGCAACCAGCAGCTAAGTTGTCCAGCAGTTCTTGTGCTGGATCACTAGTTGGTATATTTTCAGAGATCATATGAATATGTGCAAGTGCTCTGTTTATATTTGTATTTTAGTAGAAAATAATCAGGTTACAATGATCTAATATGCTGCAATTACTCGCTTTTTATGTCGATTTACAATCCATTGAAGCTAGTAAAGCTGCAGACAAAGTGAACTCGAGAACGTTTGTTTCATCTACAGACAACATGCTGATGTTTCCTCGCTGCGACCAATCGATCGGTTAACGAGTCGCTGTGATTTCAGTCAACAAAGATCTCCTTTGGTTGTATGAAGCCCTAAAAGCAACTGTAATAAATGCAAAGGAATCTGCGGCTTCACAGCGGGATTCCTGCAGATTCGTCCAAACCACAATCAAAGCAACAGCACAGGCTTGATTTATACGTTATTTACATGTGAGTCGCTGTGTGTTGGAGGAAGTTGCAGCGGCATAAACTGAAGGAATGTCCGTAAGCAAACACCAAAACATGAGAAAGGCAAACATCATAAAGCAACGCTGCTCTAATGCTTGGAGAGCTGCAGACCAGAGTCAGTGGATTTCTTTGTTTTGCTGATATAAAGTGTATTCTTGCATTTCAGAGTGCAGGATCAAACGCTGGAAGGCCGTCCTGGGTTCATCTTTGCTCCGGGAGTCAGTCGGGGATGCTCGTTAAGACGAGGCACCATTAATGGACAGCATCGCTAATCACTTCCTGCCTGAACAGAACCGGCTCTGCTCGAATCATTTAACGTAATTTAAAACATGCTGCAGAGACATCAGATTGAGGGTGATTGGATTACACCAACATCAGCAAAAATATTTAGATTTTTTGAGGAGGCTGTGATTGTTTTTAATCAATGAATCAGAAAGTGAAAGCATTGACAGCGTTAATCATCGTGGATGTGATTATCGTGCAGGATGAGTATTGCAGCTTCATCCTGTAAATCTGTTTAAACGAGCTGATTGTGAACACGTGACACGAGGAGGACACATACTTGAGCGTTTGACTTGGAGTGGACTCTGAACCAAATCTGCAACACAAAACACAAACATCAAATATTAAACGAGCACGAAACAGACGTCTCGGCGTCGTCTTGAACTTTGCACGCTCACGAAACGCCGCGGCCATAAAGGCCCGTTTGTCTGATAAACACAAGGGAGGTGCTTTTAGCGGCGGAGAGCAGTGATTTTAAAGATTAGGTCTGGAGCTCCGGGCCACACGGAGGCTAAAAGAGATGCACAAAGAGGAGGAAGCGAATTCTGTCACGAGGCTGCAAAAGTCTGCAGAGTAGAAATAGGATGCAGGTGTGCAGCTTTTTTGGGGTCAGAAAGCCAGAAATTGGAGCGTAATCTATCACACAAGAGTGGAAAAAATATATTTAACCCTCTGAACGAAACATTTCACTGTCGGCTCATTTTTCAGCATAAAGTCCTCGAGCTCGACGGAAGCAGA